GTCTTTATTTGAAAAACATGTATAAAGCCATAGTAGAAGAAAATTCTTGAGTTATGCTGTGATGTGGACTTTGGTAAAATGATGACTGTTTTGTGCCAGGCTTTTATAACTTATATATCTTACAAAATCTGACTAGTGTGTTCTACATGTAATAAAAGATTGCTTAATAAATAATTAGTTCACCCAGGCTGCTCTTTTATTGGCGACATAGTTTTTGTTTTAAAAAGGTAAAAGAATATAATGTCCAGATGTTATGACTTGTTATTGCAGTGACTAAGTCAAAACTTTTGAAATTTTTAAAAGGGAAACTAGTTTTATTGAAGCTTATCTTAAAAGAGAAAATACTATTATTTAAATTTTTAAAAATATTAAGAATAGGAGTGCTTGATTTCTGAATTCTGGTGATAATGGTTTTGTTTGATTTTTATTCTTCATTAAGAATTACCTGGGGTAGAAATAATATTTTGAGATTTCTTTACATATAGACAGAGTATTTGAGAATACCAAATTAAAATTTGAATTATCCCACCTGCCTCGCAAGTGCAAGATCCTGAGTTCGATGCCTGGTTCAAAAAAAAAAATTGCAATTAACTTAGTTCTTGATTTGGAATATACTAATATGGTCTAGATCTGCATATAACTATTGTGCTCATATTGTGGTATACTTTTTTTTTTGGTACCAGGGATCAAACTCGGGTCCTTGCGCTTGCGGGGCAGGCGGCAGAACCACTGAGCTAAATCCCCAGCCGACATTGTGGTATACTTTAAAATAATTTTTTTTAATTGAAAACTAATGTACATACTAACATTTTAGGTAATACTAAACAGTCTGCAGTGAGTAGTGAACCTCTCATTTAAGAGGCCACACAGTCCTCTTCAACAACTTGACAGTTTCATGGTACAGTCTGGTAACTAAAACATGTATTTCTTTTCAGAATAACAGAATTCCTTTTTTGGGGGAGGGGGTATTTTAAGACAGGGTCTCACTATTAAGCCCATGTAGCCCAGGCTGGCCTCAAATTCACAGCAATTCTGCTGCATCAGCCTCCCAAATGCTGGGGTTACAGGCGTGTCATCATGCTCAGCTTCAGGATAACATTATTTAAAAGTTTGTTCTATTTATTATTACCTTTTTTTTGAGATAGAATCTCACTGTGTTTCCCAGGCTAGGCTGAACTTGTGATCCTTCTGCTGGGTTTAGAGTCATAACCATCTTTCTTTACACAGTTCTTTTTTGTTGTTTTTGTGTTTAACTTTAAATTTTATTATATTTGGGGATAACTATATGTTTTTTTGTAGAGTTGGATATTATTTGTAGTGAAAAAGATAGGTCTTAATTATAAAAATTTTACATGCATTTTATTATGAAAAAGTAGTATGCTACCATGTTGGCTGACTGAAAGAAAGAAGTTTTATCTGTAGTGTTGTAGATTAGTTCTTTACAAAAACAAATACAGCCTCTTTGTATGGTGCATTAGAGAGGCCCTCATGTGACTACTAGGTAAGTGGTCCGCTGAACTACATTTCAAGTTCAGTAAGTGTACTTTCTTGATAGAGGGCAAATATCATGCCAGAGATAAAAATTTCTTTCCAGATTCAGAGGTGGAAAGCAAAACTCACATGAAACTTTAAAATAATTATAGGGAAAAGTATTTTCTCATAGGTCAGACATTAAACTCACAAATCTCTCTATTCTGTTGGCCACATGTAAGAAATTCACATCTATTTATTAGTGTTTTAAGGAAATTTGGCCATGGTGACTGAATACTAAGGACAGTGTGTTAAATACAGACCACAATCAGGAGAGACTAAAACCAAGATTTAAAGAAGTAAGATTTGAGAATTTTGAACCTAATGTTTATTTATAATTTCAGATGTGGAAAAAGTTCTCTCTTAAACTCATATCAGTTTCTCCTTAATATAAAAAACAAGTATACAAAAGTATTTATGGAGAATATACTTGTTATGATTTGAAAAGGTAGAAGAGAATGATAGAAGAATCTGCATTAAGTTTAGTTTCCTTTTGTAATATTTATTAATTTTTGAAGTAACCTTCCACTTACTAAAAGAATTGTCATACCCTTTGCTGAATTTTCACTGCAGGCTTAGAACAAGGAAGACTCTTCACTTGGAGTAAGCTTTTCTGAATTTCTAAAAGTAGCAAAATCATTAATACTACCTTTGCTTCTATTCCTTCTGGTCTGTGCTTGAACTATATGGAATTCTTGGAGGGTTTAGTTTTCTTCAGCATATAGAGCCTCTAAAGTTTTTTACTTTTCACCCTGAGACAGTGCTTCTCCTAGCTACTGAAGCTTTGAGACCAGCTATTTTATTATGGCTTTGTGAACTCATTTATTTATCTGTTTCCATTTTTTTGCGGCACTGGGGATCAAACTTAGGACCTTGCGCTTGCAAGGCAGGCATGGTGCCACTGAGCTAAATCATGGCCCATTTATCTGTTTCCTATCCCACCTAATTTTAAAAATTAAAATCATGACACCTTTTATAAGTACATAATGTATTAATAAATTTTGTTATTTTTATAGCTGGTGTTTATTAAATATAAAATATACATACATTTTGTTAGATTTGAATATTTAAAAAATAAATAATACCATTTTAATGTCAGATTCCAAGTCCCTAGGAAATGGAACTCGATTTTATAACTTATGCATATTTGCTTAACCCAGTAGTTGATAAAAGCTGTTAGTAAATTTGATAGAGCCCTGTTTCATTCCTGAATATGTGTACCAAAATTACTTTTCAGTGAAATAAATGGAACATTGAAAATTAAGAGAAATAAAACTGGAAAAGAATAAATGGAATAGTTTTCCATTTTTATGAAGTGGAAAGAATTGATTGCCTTACTCAGATGATTTACTTTATTACTAAAGTGACACCCCTTTTGTTGTGGAAAATTTCAAGGTCATGCAGGAGCAGACAAAATAATCAACTTCAGCAGCTGTAAGTGCACACAAGCAGTCTTGTTTAATCACTACTCTCTGGTAGCTCCAGACCATTTTGAAGCAGAACCTATATATCAGATAAATTTCATCCACAAATATTTCAGTTTGTTTCTGTAAAAGAGCATCAGGCCTTCATTTTTCAACATGTAAAATGATTTAGTGTTCAATCATTATATTATGTTGAGCAAAAACAGCTGTCTCGGGCAAATGAACTCACTTACATTGATAACTCTTCCTTGACTTGATTTTTTTTTTTTCTCTGAAATTCACACTTATTTTACTCTGGGTTTTCATCTCTTTTCCTTTCCTCCACAAGGGGGCAGATAAAGGAAGAGAGAAATGAAGTTTAAATGAACCTGGTTTGGGACTCACTATTTTGAATCAAATGAGCACAGTTGTAGGACATTTTGGGGGTGACTTTTCAGAAACAAGCAGTGACTTCTTAAAACAACCAAGTGCCCTCCTTACTCTTCAGAGAAAGAGTGTAGCTTTCTTGGCTTTCTTAACAGGAGGTAAGGAATCAGCTTTCAAGAAATATTATCCAAAGCATTGTTACAGCCTTTAATTTTTTCTATGTTTAGTAATTTGTCTCTAAAAACAATAATTTGAGATTTAATGAAAACACAACATTTGAATTTATACCCAGTTCTTACAGTCTGTAATCTATAGCTTAGAGATTCTGTGATTGTGGCGAGCTCAAGGCCAACCTGGGCTACATAGTGAGTTCAAGGCCAGCCTGAACTGCATAGTGAGATTCTGTCTCAGAAAACCCCCCCAAAAAACTACACAAAAAAGACTTCTTGAATGATGCAAATGTTGATTGGGTGAGGTATTTGAGCTAGGCATTTGACAGTAGAAGGGACATAGTGACTGTCTATCCCCAAGCAGTTTTCCCATTTCTTAAAAGCCTCAGTTACTATGGCATTGTCATTGAGTAAATTACAGAGACCTGCAAATATATGATGGTTACTTTATTTACAGCAAAAGCAGTCTTCCATTTGTAGCATGTTTGGTATTGAACACCTGAACACCCTGTAAATTGCTGTTTAGTCTGAGAATTTTAAATGAACATCTATAAAGTTCTGTAGCAGCTGATTAGTTCTTTGTTTGGACTTGGTATTTGGATATTCTGATCTGGGGAATTTTTTAATTCATTTTTGTTCTTCCTGCTTTTTTGTTTTGTTCTTCTAGAGACAGACACGGAAACAGAGAGACAGTGCCAAAAAAGTATACACACTTCAGGAAAAGAAAAATAGTATGTTTTTTCAGCAGATGGTGTTACCCTTGTATGGCGGGGGTGGGGGTGGGCTCCTAGAGGATGTCTTACAGCACAGAAAACCCGCTTCACTGCCACCTGTTAGAGAAGAACCTGAAAGTGCGTGTGCAGCAATCTCAGTGACCAAGGTTACCCAGCAGCAGTGTGCCATACTAATAACTGTCTGGAAGCTCCTGGCCACCACTCTGAGCACCTCTTGTAATTGTAGAGGGCAGCTTGTATCAGTCTCATGCTGTCTCAGTAAATTGAGTATTAAAGTGTTTATACAAGTTTTTCTTTTCCTGAAGTGTGTATACTTTTTTTTGGTGGACTCTATAATTTTTTTGTTTTGGAAAAACTTCATAAATGTTCTGAAACCTACATTTTATATCTGTGATTTTAGCTGTTGTAAGTTTGGAGAGAAATGATGGGACCTGCAGAAATTGATTTTTTTCTATCTCTTTGTGTATCTGTTTTGCAAGTCATGTTTTTTCCTTCTATTGTCACTATTAAGAACTCTATTATCAAAGTTTCTATATCCCTACAGCATGACACATAATTACTATGAAACTGTTATCTCACATTCCTATAGGGTTCTTTTTTTCAGCACTTAATGCCTTTTATTCCTTAGCTTCATGCATGAATTATGTAGCATGTGTGAAGACGGCTTAAACTGTTTCCATTGCATTCTTTCTGGATGGCTCCTGTTATATTTAGGGAATACTTACACTTTAGACAAAGTAAGAATGTTATTGTTGTTGACCTTGACACCAGATAACTGGGCAGACATTATATAGCTATGTTTGAATCCTCACAAAATGTGCTGTTGAAGCCAACAGAGTCCTGGCGGGAGACTCTTCTGGACAGCAGAGTTATGGAACTTTTCTTCACAGTAAGTCTTAGTCTTTATCTCTGGTAACAAGGGCTATGGAAAAAAGGGAATGCCTTTGTATTTTCCTGAAGTAAAACAGGACAGACTGCTTTTCTCCCCTAAAGCCTTCTCATCTTAACAACATCTGCTTGAACAAATTATATCAAAAAGTTCTTGCCAATTTACAAACAAAATTGTATAGAGGATTTAGTATCTTAGAGCAGAACTTTTCAGACTTTTTAACGTCAAGACCCCTCTACATTTGTTTCAAAAATGGAGGATATCAAATAATTTTTATTTATGGTGATTATACTTAAAATTTAACTGTTACTGTTTATCCTATTAAAAAATTAAACCAGTCAGGGATTTAGCTCAGTGGTTCCACTGCCTGCCTCACAAGCGCAAGGTCCCGAGTTCGATCCCCGGTACAAAAAAAAAAAAATTTAAACCAAGGACTAGGGGTGTAGCTTAATGGTAGAGTACTTGTGTAGCATGTGTGAGACCCTGGGTTCAATCCCCAGCGCCAGAAAAAAAAGCCTCCAAATCACAAACTGAGTATGTTAAAAATAGATTTATTAATTCATTAAAACATAGCAATAATACAAAAAAATAGCAATAAGAAATTTTACATGGTAATATAAATAACATTTTAATGAACGAATAACTATTTTTGAAAACAAGTTTCATAAGAAGAATGGCACTGTTTTACTTTTTGGTTTGTTTTTGTGTTTTTTACAATTTTTGCAAATCTCACTAATGTCCGGCTGAATAGAACACAGCCAGATTCTCTTGTCTGCTTTGTATTCAGCTTGTACCTCCTGTCTGTGTACTCTGGAAAACTACTGTATACTGTGTGACAGTTGGAATGGAAAAAGCAGATGCTGTCTTAGTATTACCATGAATAGTTTTGCTTTCACAATTATCAGGGTCTTAGGAACCTTTAGGAATCCCTGGGCCATACTTTGAAAACTGCTGTTTAGAGCGCTATTTCTTTCTATTTGTGTGTGTGTGTTTGTGTGTGTGTGTGTGTGTGTGTGTGTGTGTGTGTATGTTGCTGGGAATCAAGCCCAGGGCCCTTGCATGTGCTAGGCAAGTACTGTACTATTGAGTAGACTAGTATATTTTTATAAGACTTTAAGTTAGTATTTAATAGCATTTATTTCAAGTACAGTTTTAAACAATTTTTTTATTATTGGCTGAATAGAAATTAAAAAATACATTCTCACATTTGCCGGTGAGTTTCCCCATTGGAATTAATAAATACATGTGTATGTTTAAGTGTCTGTGTGTTGGATGCTAATTTGCAGTTACAGGATGAGTATACAAGTTAGACATAATGAATTGGGCAAAAATCCAAATAAGACAAATCCAAAGAAAAGTAGGAAGCTGTTTTGCCTAATACCAATTGTTATAGTTTCTTACCTTATCATGTGTTTTAAAAATATGCATAAGCCTTCCAACTGCCTGCCTTTTTTGATCAAACCATTTAAAATATAACTGTTACATGACGTATTTAAAAATGTCTAGAACAAAGTTACTCATTTTTGGATAAATACGTTATAAAACATATTTTCTGTAGAAATGTTCAGACTGAGCACTTTATATTTTTTTTTTTAAATCAGAAATGATGACTAAAAGCATTCAAGATCAAAGAGATAATTGTAACTAACTTTTAAAACTCTGTTGCCTGCCTCATCTGACAGGAATTGTTTTGATGCCAATCCAAGTTCAGTTCTTTGTATTATTCACTCAGCTGAAAGTAGATCCCACTCCAGCAGTTTTTGAAAAGGTGCAAAACTTTCTGGCAGTGCTGGAAACAACTCTACCAAATCTGAACAGCTGTCTAGACAAACCAGACAGCTGCTCCTGTCAGCTGTGAACTACCACATGCAAATAACTTTTGAATTTGAAAGTTAACCCTTTTTTGCTTTGTTATTTTAGGGGTTTTATAGGTATAGGCTATTTTCACTTAAGCAGTTTTTAAACAATTTTGTTGTTACAGAAATCATAATGACTGAGCTTTCTGTTTAATTTAATTTTTGTTAAATTTACTTTCACGTATGTGAATTCATTACCCAATTTAAAGGGTTTTTTTCCCACTAGTTAACACTTTTACACAAGATTTGAGTACATAAAAACAGTTGCGTGGAATTGAGACTTAAATATGTTGATTACATCAGAAATTTGCAATAGCTTTGGTTGCATTCTACTCTTCAAAAGTTTACAAACTTCTAGATTTTTCTTTTCTCCATAAGATCGTGTAAAAAGCCACTTTCATTCAGTTTTCTTCATACCTTAAGATTCTTCCTGATCTTGCTTATGATTTGTTCTTTCTTTGCTCATTGCCTAAATATTGGCAATCTCATCTTAGTTCTCAATTTTACTGACGACACGCTTTCCTGGGGCTCTCTTCTGCGTGTAGCACTTCAGGCACCTCTTCACTGATGACTCCTAAATCTATATTCAGCGCAGTCCCCTCCAGATACCCCAAGCCTCATAATCCAAGTGCTTTCTGGCTGTTTCAATTTGGATGGCCACAGACATCTCACATTTAACGTGTTCCAGAAGAATCGGTCATCTTACTGACTCGCTTCTTCTTTATGCCTTGTGTTGATAAGTAGCCTTGCCATTTGCCACCTCAGAGTCCTGCTGGACTTGCTCTCTCCTAACCGTCTGCCTCTCTCATAGTCAAGTAGTGAATTCAGTTTTTAACTGTATAATACAGCTCGTAGTGAAACACACTCTCAGGGAATTTATAGTACATTGGAAAAAAGAGCAGATATTTATGCCATGTAAGAATTGTTTGTCTTGACTTTTATGTGATTCATATTTCAGGGAATATAGATTGGGCTTGCACAATACAGGTAAGGTAAATCTCAGTTCTAGGCCAGGATTGAGCAACCAGCTGGCTCCTTGGCTGGAGAAAATTGTGAGACGGGTTTTTCTAGTACCAGACTGCTTTGTTTTAGTGGATAGCATGTATCCCTGGACACCTGTTTAAATGCTGATTAGGGTTACGGTGTGATGACACAAATTTAGTTATTTTAAGAATGTATTGTGTTCAAGAGTTCACAAACTAGATAGTATGCATATTTTTAATTTACTGTATCAAATTTAAAATACATTGGAATATAGTTTGAAAAACATTTGTATTCTACCAGGGATTAGCAAACTGTATCATTCTAGATTGTAAATATTTTAGGCCATACATGTCATATCATCATACTTTGTCATTGTAGTACAGAAGTGGCCCTAGATAATTCATAAACAAGCAAGCATCGATACTCCACTGAAACTTTGTAGATGATCATTAAAATGTGAATTCTGTATGATTTTCACAAGTTACAAAATGTATTCCTTTGATTTTTTTTTCCTCCCTTACCCATGTATACACACACACAAAATCTTTGGTGGGGGCCAATACTGGGAAGGGAGCCCAGAGCCTTCACATTGAGCTATATACACCAGCACCTCAACACCCTTTAAATTGCTTTTTCTTGAGGCAAGGTCTTGCTAAATCACCCAGGCTTGGCTCAAACTTGTAATCCTCCCGCCTCATCCTCCTAGAGTGTGGGATGTCAGACATGTGCCTATACACCTGGCATAGAAAAAAACTGTTCTTTTTAGAATGTTCTTAGCCACATAAAAACAGACTGGGGATAGTGGTACATGCCTGTAATCCCCGCACATGGGAGGTTAAGGTGGGAAGACTGAGGATTTGAGGTCAGCCTGGACATTTTACTGAGATCCTGTTGCAGAACTGGAAAAAAAGACTGGGGGTGTAGCGCAGTGGTAGCATGCCCCTGGGTTTGATCCTCAGTACCAGAAGGAACAGCAAAACAAAAACAAATTATTAAAAAAATCTGGAAACCAGATTTAGCCCATAGGCTGTGGTTGGCTAAGCCATGTTCTAGACCAAAGACTATAACACATAAACATGTCAATAAATCAGTTAAATTTTTAATTTTTAGAGATGTTACAGTGTTTTAAATTTCTTGACTAGAATCTGAGGACATTCTGGTATTAAGGATTAATGGATCAATCCACAAACAAGGATTTATTGTTCACAGTGGCCCAGCACAGTACTATCAGATACTCAAAAGAAGCATTCTAACTTTTAAGTAATTTATAAATGATTTGCAGAGTCAAAGTGAAAGCCTGAAACAAAGAGAATAAATGTCCAACATAATGTGACATTCACAAAGTCTGTAGTTGAGAGTGAAAGAGAAAGCCTAGGGTAAAGTGCTTGTGCTGAGCAGGAAATGGTCACGGTTAGAATAGGAGGTAAACGAAGAGGAATAATTATTTGATTTCTTCACGGAACTTTCATTTGCTATTTTAATTATGTTAGATCACAGAAATGAAACCTTTACTATGTGAGGATAGTAATACTATAAAGTTAAGGAGCAATATTTTGGGAGCATTTCCTTCATATAAAACAGTAAACCAGGTGTTTCACATCAGTATTGTATCATTGAAATATAATCTAGATGAGCTTTTAAATGGATTTATGTGTAATTTAAAGTCTTTACTGAAACTTTAAATATTAATAGCAATCTATGATAAAATGTGATATAGGTAAACTGTAGACATTTTCATAATTAAAGCATATTCCTGTATGTTGGCTGAATGAATGAATGCATGAATATCTAGGGCTTGAGCGATATATTGGTTTTCTAAGTGTATATCTGTTTACTTCCACTAAGACAGCATCTATATACTCCTGATTGAACTTGTCTGCTAACTTTAGCAAGACGCTGTAGCGAGGCATAGTTAGCATAATACAGATGACTGTCGTTGTTGCTGTTTTTAGAAGAAGCAGTATGTCTGACTGGCTGGCATCTGTTTCTCTCTTTGTCATAATGTGCTGGAGACAGTTCAGTTTTCAAAATGTAGGTAGCCCTCAGTTAAAAATTAGTTGATATGTTTAAAATCATGCCTGCAATGTCAACTGGACCAATCGGCAATTTTCAAATTTACCTAAATTCATGAATTAACTTTCTAGAAATAATCCAGCTACAGTGAATTTTTCTGTTACCTCATTTGGCGTGGTAGGCACGTGACCCTTACAAAAGAAGAATTTATTTTTATGGATTAGTAATTCTTCCTAACAGGTACATCGAAAAATCAGAGAAGATTCAGATATGGCACAAGATTCTCTGCAGTGCCTTGCCCAGTTAGCGTCTCTGCATGGACCTGTCTTCCCCGATGAAGGCTCACAAGTTGATTATCTAGCACATTTCATTGAAGGGTTACTGAATACTATCAATGGGTAGGTATACTTGTCCTTTATAACTGAAAGAAGAACTTTCTGGGTTTTCCTTGTGTTTAACAGAGGAGGAAAAAGAAAATGAGTGATTTCCCCCTATGGTATATTTTGAAATAAAGTAGTATGCCTAATTTGAAATTAATATGCAGAGAACATACCTTTAAAAATGAAGAGGTGATAACATTTGCTTGTTTGGAAATGAGTTATAACTTCCTTAATAATCCTCATTACTTGATTTATAGAATTGAAATTGAAGATTCTGAAGCTGTGGGAATTTCCAGCATTATCAGCAACCTGATAACTGTGTTCCCTCGAAACGTTTTAACTGCCATTCCTAGTGAACTTTTCTCCTCCTTTGTTAACTGCCTCACACACCTCACTTGTTCTTTTGGGCGAAGTGCTGCACTGGAAGAAGTGGTGAGTGACTATTCTAAAATAAATTGTGTCAGTTTTTCATAAGAAAATTTGTGCTTTTTGGGGAACATTTTCTTATGAAGTAATTATTTTAAGTAAAGGCTAGTAGCTCTTGTTAAAATCACCGTTTTGTTTATATGTGTAAATTAGTTGGCAACATGTGTTTGGAAACATGACCTTTAAAAATTTGGGGATTCAAATCAGTAGGTGATATTTATTGATCTTAGGATTTTAATTTTGAGATAATTGGAATGAAATCCTCCTATTAAAAATTATGTTTCAAGCCCATTTTTATGTTGTTTAACAAATTCACAGGGTACTGCTAACTTCCTCATATGATGTGATTATATTTTTATATACATTTATTTTGAGATTTTAAAATATTTTTTATTTATTTGGAAATTATGTAAACAGTTCAGTTCAAGTCATTGTAGCTATGCTTGTTTTACTTAGACAATGCTTTTAACTTTTTTGCTGTTGAGGTTTAATAGTGTTACATTTTGGTAGAATCTAATTTACATTGACTTAACACTCAAGGTATCTTTTGGTACAGATTTTCAGATGTCTATTTTGTAAATTTTATATTTAAATTTAGAAAACACATACTAAAAGCCCTTGGCAATACAGCTGCTTTTGTAATAGTTACTATAAATAATTGTCTTAATCATGGAAAATAATTTTTTCAAAATAGTTATTAAATTGTTGAAACTAATTTTTCTTTTTCTCAATCAAAATGTGGGTCTTTTAAAAAGATTGTAAGAGTAAAAACAGTATTTGTAGATATGTTAGAATTTTGTGTTAAGTCATGAGTTTTTTTGGTGGGGGTTTGGCAGCTGGTATCAGTTTTTCCTCTTCCTTCAAAGATGTTCCAAGAGTAAAGAACTCACAGTGATTGTCTTTATGTAATTGAGCATTTTAGTGATTTGGTGAGAGCAAAGTAACTGGGTCAGGCAGAGATTTATGTGGTGGAAAAATGTATGTGGTAGAGGAATACAAGTTTAAAAGCATCATATATGGGATTTGAATTTCTCAGGGAGGTAATTTATGTTCTAAACACGAAAATGCATGGAAAATTAAGTATTTAAGCTTTACTCAGATTCCTTTCAAATGATCACAGATCTGAACCAGTCAGGTTTCATTTAACATGGTCCCATTGTACTTTGCCTATCCTGCTTGGTTTGTTTTTAATCTTCTAAGCCAGTTGGATTAAAGATTTGCATACTGAGTACATGTTTAGAAACATAGATACCTTTTTGTTTCTGTTTGTGGTTAAGCATGTTCCTAATGTGTTAAAAAAGAATTGCTGGAAGATATAATCTATATGACTATCTTGGTTTATAAATTTTATATATGAATTTGTTTATTTTGACCAGGAGGTTGACAGTGTTTGATGTGGGAGCCTTGGATTGTAAGAAAGTTAGGTGTGTTTTCAGAGAAGCAAATACGTCTTGCACTTCTTTCACAGGAAAACATGCTTTACTTATGTACTTAATAGGTTTCACTTGGGAAAATTGTTCTTTTTAAAAATAATTAGTCATTTATTGTAAAGGGCAGAGGGAAACAATTTGTCTAAGGCTTTGCATTCGTTGTGGAAGTGACATTAGGGAGGTTTGGTGACATTAAAGGCTAAGAGGGTGACGCTACCCCTTGACTTGCGTAAAGACTAAACAAATCCTCCTAAATGTTATTTTAGCCTCAGTATTTCACTGTTTTGTGTGTACCTGGTATATGCAGCTAATAGCAGAAGTTATGAACAAATCTAGCCAAATTATAGAGTGGACCTTGAAAAATTAAGGCATATAAAAAAACAGCTTGGGGCTCAGCATGTAGAAAGATCATGAACTATGACAGTCTAGTCATGGGCTGAGTAATCTAAAGTGTAGCTTGGGCAAGCTGCCTCACTTTTTTGAGTGTGCTTCCTCATTAGTAAAGTCAGGATAATAATTTCTTGTGATGTTTTATGGCATTATATGAAAGTACCTCTGTAGTATGCATAATACAATTTAGAATAATAATTTTGAAAATGAACCTTTATAATACAATTGACAGCCTGTATTGTATGTACTGTCTTACCACCTAGGTCTGGTTATTGGGTTTTGTTGTTCTGTGCAAATCGATGATCTTTTTATAATTTCAATATTTAAAAGTCTTTATAATTTTAATTTTAGAAAATGCTTTTCATTAATATTGAAGGAGTTTCCTCTCATAGTAAGAATATAGATTCTTCATATAGACTTTTGTTGTGGTAAGACTTTTTGAGAACTGTATTTGTTTAGGAGAACATAATAGAATCTGTGAGGATTCATGTCTTTGTTGGTGATTATATTGCTATAGCCTGGGGGAACATCTTTACAAGAAGAAAAATTCTTGATTAGCGTGTCTTTTGAGATACGATCCAACCAGAATTAAATAATACACTGAAATAATTCTTAAAACACTTCTTTTAATAAGAATGTGTATTTAAGAATGTGTTTAATAAGAATGTGTTTTAAACAGTAGTCGGTTTTCTTCCAAACAGCCTCGTACAGGTAAAGTTATTGTTATTGAAAAGAAGTGTGCAATGTTTTAAAAAATATTTATCTCCATTTTTCCTACATTATCTTAGGCCAAGAAAATGCATACTCAGGACAGGTGAGTGAGGCTGGCAGCATCTTGCTCTCTGCAGTATCATCAGGTATTCTTTCCTAGCTACCAGAAGTAGCTTTTCCCTTTCTGTGAAGAGATTTATTTACGACTAAGAGAGCAATCCAGTTTTCAGCTAAGTTCTGTAGCTGCTAAAGTTTCTTGGTATTTCTTGAGACTAAGATTTTTTCATTACACTCTCAAAGTCGAATTTATATTTGTTGTTGGACTGTATGAGAATGTAGGGATGAAACAGTACTTTTTTTTTTTACTTTTATTCACAACACTTCATAACAAATTTAAATAACTATGAGGCTATGAGGCTTTGTCATGAGAAACAATATTATCTTAAAGATTAAAATCTGAATAATTATTGTTCATGAAAATATTTTAATACTAATGCATATATTTGAGTTTGTGTAGTGAAATTTGAGGAAAATATGACTTGATTTCTCTATTCTAGCTTGTTTCTTGAATATTTGGGTCAGTAGCAAATTTTTGAATTCGGCCCATAATTAGGTTTGGAGAGGCCATGCAACATGTTGAGTTACACGGAATAGAGTGGCTACTATGACAGTGATCCTTTTTGTATGTATGCATGGATACAAATGGATATACTTTATAAAGGAAGAACTTTACACTTAATTTTAGTCTATTTGCAGCCTAATCTCTCGATCAGCAGGACAAGGTAGTAAACTGGGGTACTTGATAAAGTTGTCAGGAAGTTCATTAGAGAGTGCCATGCACTAAAATAATTTTGTAATTTGTTGGTTGAAGGCATTTAAAGATTAGCATTCTTGATTCAACATCTAGTTTCTTTTCTAGTTACTTTGTGGAAAGGAATGTGGTGAAAAGGAGTATATTGGAGCCAGATTATAGATTGAGAAGTGGCAGCAGAAGTTCTGGCATGTCTTAGTGGTAACAGGAAAGACAATAATTACTCTAGAGTGGTGGTGTCAATACAGTGTAACTCGTATCATTTGCTCCTATTTTCGTGGAAGGGTAGATCATTTGAGAATCCCTATAGCCCTCTCCATTAGTTCTGGTAGCTAGGAAAGAATACCTGATGATACTGCAGAGAGCAAGATGCTGCCAGCCTCACTCACCTGTCCTGAGTATGCATTTTCTTGGCCTAAGATAATGTAGGAAAAATGGAGATAAGGAGATAAATATATTTTAAAACATTGCACACTTCTTTTCAATAACAATAACTTTACCTGTATGAGGCTGTTTGGAAGAAAACTGACTACTGTTAAACCTTAAATACACATTCCTATTAAAAGAAGTGTTTTAAGAATTATTTCAGTGAATTATTTAATTCTGATTGGATTGTAATTTATGCAGTGTTTTTTGACTTGGATACAGATCAATTCTGATTATTTAAATCCTAGGGCAGAACCATTGTTTTAAGTTTTACAGTATTGATAGAATACAGAGAATTGAATAAAGCTTATTTACTGTCACAACTGTTGTTCTGTATCATATCCCTCATATTGTTTACAAGACTAACACTAGAGACATAGACAGATCCAACGGGTCTAGAGTTCAAAGGTCTGTGCTAATGTGAGGTAGATAAAAGGTTTTGTAACCCATGAAAGCTAGAGGATCCCTGAAATGCCAGCCCACTAGCAGTACTGCTGGATTAATTCAATTCTGTAAATATATGTTGAACACCCACTGTGTGCCAGGCACGATGTCTACTATGTATACTTCTCTTTGCATTAAGAATTTAGAAATTCTTCCTTTTGAAAATGTATATAAAAGTATGTTAATCCATAACACAACATTTAAAAACCTCTGTAAATTATAGCTTGGATTCTTGGTGGTTTTGTGGTGGCAGTTGTTTGTTTTGGCCTTGTTAGAAGTTGAACCCAGTGCCTCATGAATGCTGGGCTGACACCCTAGCAGTGAGCCACATCTCTACCCTACCTCCTCCTTAAGTGATCTATCTATAGGATTCTTCTAACAGCTGCAATTCTTATCTGCTAAATCAATTTCTCTTGGGGGATTTCAGAAGCCAGGAATACTGTCAGCTGCATAGGTACTCTGAAGTTAATTCTGTGCTTTAAGTGCTAGCCAGGGGAGGTCATATATGTGTAAAGCTTAATTAATTTCTTTGGCATTTAACATTCAAAGACTTCTAAATTCTTCCATCCACTCCCACCCCAGTACTGGGTATTGAACCCAGGGCCTTCACACTGAGCTGCATACTCAGCCCTTTTTATTTTTTATTTTGAGACAGGATCTTGCTAAATGTCTAGGTGAGATTTCAACTTGTAATCCTTCTGCCTCTGCCTCCCAGGAGTTTATACAGTTTTTTGTTTGGAGTTTTTGGGGTTTTTTGGTACTGAGGATCTAACTCAGGACCTTGTGCGTGTGAGGCAGGTGCAGTGCTACTGAGCTAAATCCCTGGCCCAGGCCCTGGGTTTGATCCCTAGCACCATTAAAAAAAAATAATAAAAGGAAAAGCAAAGAATTCTGTTGGTCCACAGAAGGAATTTTCTGATTTCATGGGGAAAAAATGAAGTTGTGTTATTTGCTGTTCATAGGAAAAGATGCATTGTAGTGGGATAGATTTTAGCCAATGTCTGCTAGTAACTGTAGTACCATCATTATTAGGCATAGATTTGGAGTTGTTTGCTGTATAATAACCAAATTTATAACTAGTATGAGATTTATCTTATATTTTTTAAACATATCTTGGTATTACATTTATATACAGGCATCAATATATTTTAGTTCAGTTTTAGGTTCATAGCAAGAAATTGAGTGAAAATATAGAATTCGTATTCCCTCTGCAATATGCATCTTCTTGAACCTCCCCCAGTCAGTATCCCACTGACTGGAGTGGTATGTTTGTTACAACTGTTGAACCTACACTGCTAAATCACTATCACCCGAAGTCCATTGTTTTCTTTACAGTTCATTCTTGGTGTAAATTCTGTGGGTTTGGATATATGTCCACCATTATAGTATTATTCAGAATATTTTCACTACCCTTAAAAACCTCTGTGTTCCACCTATTCCTCCTCCTTCCCCCCCAGCCTCTCACAACAATGAATCTTTACTCTCTCTGTAATTTGCCTTTTCCAGAATTTCATAAAGTTGGAAGCATAGAGTAACATTAATCTCTGAAATTCAGCATGATGTCAAAAAAGAGGCAGATTTATAATATGGAAAATTTCTTTCCAAAGCTTCACATTTTCACATTTCTTCTTTCCACAGCTTTCACATTTTTGACAGCATTTTCACACACAAAAAATTAACTACTGCTGTATTTTGGAATTATATGTTCAACATAATTACCAAAGCAATTAGGCAGATATTTTTCCTCCATCTGATGGACTGCAAATTCACTCCTCTGTGCACTTTCAAGTTAATTACAGACACTGAGAGAGAAGTGCTGATATATTTTGATTACCTTCTCTACCCTCTGTTCCCAAATGGAGTAAAGTGGGGTCAAGTAGTCTCATAAGCTCTAAGCCCCTCTCCAAAGCCTCACTGGCAGCAGGCCTGACCATACCGGGGCTATGAGCACATAGTCTCTAGCTTGGTCTCCTTAGTCATTTTTGTGCACGTGCTGCTGGCTTGGCTGCTGGGTTTTGGCAGGGTGTTCATGGAGCAGGGCCAAGGTATTATGAAAAAGCACTAGGTTAGGTTTCATTTCTCTGTGATAGAAGATCTAGTTGCCAATTGTCATCAACCAAATTTCTTAACACTTTGTCTGATGAGTTACTTGGATTGGTATCCAGAAAGATTTTCTCTTTTTGAGAAATCCATAGTTTTTATTTAAATCCCTGCTTAGTGAGTAGAGGTGCTTAGACTCTGCCTGTGATCTGTTTTGTCTAATATCAGGGCTCTATAGAAATGATTTTTGAGAGTTCTTTGAACAGTAGAGAGGCATATAGGACCTTTTATACTTTTCTATATATGAATGAGCTGTGAGAACATATATGGCTTAGATACTAAAACTCAATGAAGATAGATCTTAGAAAATGTCTTGCTTTTTTTTTTTCCTTTTGAGACTGTAGATCAGAGAATGCTGTACCCGAGTTCCTGTTAAGATATGTTACCAGTCTATTTGTTTTGCCAAGATAAACTGTTAGACCTAACAAATGATGTCTGTGAAGCACATGCTTTGTTAAGTAGAGTATATAAACAGGCACAGATGTTTCCAGGGAAAGAAAGTATCTTATTCATCTCTATATTCCAGTACTTAGGTCTTAGGATTTAATACATTTTTGCTTAATGAATAAAACCACCTTTTGCTACTAATAATAAATTGAGCACTGTGCTTGGACATTTTAGCAGTTTTTCTGTCTTTTACCCTCAAAACTACTGTGGATGTTTTTATGATGTCATATTTTATATATGTAGTCCTAAAACATGAAATGGCAATGAGTGAGCCCATGATCCAACTCATGAACATTACCAGTACCTGGTTGATACTATGTGTTCTCTGTATCAGTCTTACCTCCTTGCTGCTACCCTGTCATACCTCTTGTAACAGAGATGATCACAGTTCTGAAGTTTCGTTCCCTTGCTTTAAGTTTTTTTAATCATATGTATCCCTATATGATGTGTCAGTGTATAATTATATCACGATTTGTTTTTCAATTCTCTTTTAAATGACCTTTTGAGCTTCCCTTTTTTGCCATTATAGTGTTGTTAAAAACATTCTTCTACAAGTTTCCAGTACATATTTTGCACACACACCCCCCACCACCACCCCATGCTGGAGATTGAACACAAGTCCTCAGCCCTTTTGAGAATGGAATCTTTGTTTTATTAAATGTTCTTTTCTTTTAGCTTGATAAAGATGACATGGTATACATGGAAGCATATGATAAATTGCTGGAGTCCTGGCTAACTTTGGTCCAAGATGATAAACATTTCCATAAAGGCTTTTTTACTCAACATGCAGTTCAAGTTTTCAATTCCTATATCCAGTGCCACCTAGCTGCTCCAGATGGCACGAGGAATTTGGTAAGTTTTAAGCCAGGTGGTAACAATGTCACCAGAGGCTGTATTTCATTGTATTAGACATTATTAATACCAGAAATTTAGAATATGCTCCCTCAAAAGATTTGCTGAGAGCAAAAGTGATCCTTGTTTTCTAAATGAATTCTTGTTAAATGGGGTGTTGCTTATAGTCATCTCTTTTTCAGTTTTCAGTGCCCACCTCTGTCTTGCTAGTTGTCCAGTGCTAATGAATGACTTCCTACATCCAAAACACCAGGATAACAGATCATTTAGTGACATGTGAAATTCCCTGGTATGGGAGGTGGGTTGTGAGTGTGTAATTATCTATATTTGCCACATGCAATAGGGAATGAAAGCTGTACTTTTTCTTTTGTGTTGTCCTCCTTTTGCTAACCACTAGTGCTGTTGGCATGGTTACAAAGGAGTCCCTAGATTGAAGATAGCTCACCTTTCTATTGGCAGTACTGAAGGTATTTTACAGGACCACGGAAATTGATCTTACTGAAGAAGATAGTGCATACAGTTCCTCATTGTTTCTTTCTTTCACCTTTAACAGACTGCCAATGGTGTGGCCTCTCGTGAGGAAGAAGAAATAAGTGAACTTCAAGAAGATGACCGAGACCAGTTTTCTGATCAACTAGCCAGTGTAGGAATGCTAGGAAGAATTGCTGCAGAGCACTGTATACCTCTTCTGACAAGGTACACACAGTCCAGAGAAACCCTATGGAGCTAATATTCTCTATTCACAATTCTCTGGAGAGCACTTAAAGTGTTTAAAGACTTTAAACACCCCTGCCCCACATCCCAGCACACTGGACCAAATGGACAGAAACATACTCATGATTGCATTCTTTGGCTTACACATTTGGAGCCCAGACACTACAACATAGATGGCAGAGAGATTATGGAAAACATGGTATGAGAAATGATTTGACCCATGTCAATAAAACTTGAAATAACCAGTTTTCAAATGCCTGTTGTAAACCTTGATTGTTTGTAAAGCATTGTTTAATTCTGTATCATAAACAATAAGTCACAATTCCTGTAGTCACTATAATTCCTATAAGCCACTATTCTCATAGTCCTGTGAGAATAATTGTATTCTATAGGGTTCTGTGTATGTGTTTTTACGTTAACATTTTAATTTATGTTGTCTAGTATATGGAGGTTATAAGTTGTTCTAGGTCTTTATGTATGGAATTTGCTATTGTGTTTTGTTTTATTTTTTTAGTTTATTAGAAGAAAGAGTGACAAGACTCCATGGTCAATTACAACGACATCAGCAACAATTGCTTGCTTCACCTGGTTCAAGCACCGCTGACAACAAAATGCTTGATGATCTCTATGAAGATATTCACTGGCTGATTTTAGTTACAGGTTGGTTACTTGTTTCTTTTTAAAATGTTGCCAATGAAACAGTTTAAGCCCTAAAATTTAGAAGTTTAATATAATAAAAGCAGTAGTTCATACACTGTAGTGGATGAAATTTGAACATAGTTCTTTTCCACAACAGAGCTATGAATACATTTTTTTAAAATACTGGCTCACATATATTCAGTGCTTATTGTACACCAGATGTTTTATGTGGGCCTCATTATAGCTCACTGAATTAGCACTGTTAGGTATTGTTACTGTTATCATCATTGTTATTCCCGTCCAGCAGAAGAAGCTGAAAGTAAAAGAAACTAGCCTGTGGTCACACTGCTATTAATGTTTAGAGCCAGAATGCAAATCTAGGCAGTCTGACTTTTTGGATCTTCTTCCTTAACAACCATACTGTTAGTGTTTCTGTATTTTAAATAATCAAAAAATCTTGACTTTTGGAAAGGTATTTTTCGATATTGATTTCTTATAAAGATAATAGCAGATTTCCTATTCACTTTTGAAAGTATATTACTGAAAATTATTAAAAAGCCAACATGTTAGTATGAATTATAAAATTGATGAATAAAACACTTGTCCTTTGCTGTAATTTTGAGGTTAAGAAATTGAAAGTTTTTTCTCATCAACTTGAAATTAACAGATTAACATTTATAACTTACCTTTACAAATAAAATTGAAAACATTTATAGTGCAATTTGGTAAATATAGATTTGTTAAGTGTTCATTTTTAATTTTTTTTAAACTGAAGGCTACCTCTTAGCTGATGATACTCAGGGAGAGACTCCGCTAATACCTCCAGAAATAATGGAATATTCCATTAAGCATTCATCTGAAGTTGACATTAATACAACACTTCAAATTTTGGGATCTCCAGGAGAAAAAGCTTCTTCCATCCCAGGGTACAACAGAACAGATTCTGTGATTAGGTAATATGAACTCTATAGCTGTGCTCTTGTAATTTATACTGTTTTAAAAATTCTGAGTTGATGGGTAGATGACTGGATGGATAGGCACTCTGTACATCAGACACATAAGGGAAAGAAAACTTGGAGAAGCCTTGAAATACACAGGGATGTCACGTTCTCAGTACTTAATATATTTAGGCTATACCACTTGAGTGGGGATTGACAGATATATTCAGTACTGAGGAAAACAAGTGTAAAGTTATGCTAAATATGAGACTCCAAAGGGAGATTCAGTCTAACCTACTACAAACATAGCTTGTATGGACAACCTAAAAACAAAAAAAAAGAATTTGAGGTTCTTAGAAACCAGATGAACATAACAAGTACTTGTTGTTCATGAAAGCTAAAACTGTTTCAATGGCTTTCTTAAGGAAACCATAATTCTTATCTTATAAAATGAAAATATTTATCCTGAATATGTGAATCTTGTGAACCCACCCCCACCCCACCCCCCGCCAAATAGGGGCAGTTATAAAACAGCAGTATCTCAAGTGAGAGGATTCACTAATAGCAATGGCAGATTTTTCATTAGTTCTTAGTTGTGCAGTTAAGATGGACAAATCAACACTAAATCTGCTTCTAGAAGTGGATTTGAAAACAGCGTTAAATTTCAGCATCTTTAGCTTTAAGTGAAATTTAGGTTGTAGGCAGAGATGTCAGTAATGATAACATTGTTATTTCCAAGATCACTAACTCAAACAACTTGCTACTTCTTCATTCTTTGTTTTAAATGCAAAAATATATGAACAACACTTAAATCCGTGCAGCAGAAAATATGATTTTTTTACAAGTTCAGATAATAAGCTGATACCAATGAAATATTTGGGAATTTATTTCTTTCATTGGTACTCATAGTTTCTTTTCGAAATAAAATATTGGAAAAGTTTTAAATCTTTCTCTTGGGATTACTATAGTCATTTAATTTAGGGTCTATGGAAATCAGTGCTTTTGCTTTGCTTTGTTTTGTGGTGAATGTTAATTTCAAAGACAATTCATTTCAGGGTGCTGTCATATTTTATATTGTCATATTTCTTGCCTGGTTAGTACCATTAAGAATGTTTTCCTTATATCTTAAGTGCTTTTTCAGTTTCTTCCAGTCTTTGGTGTTGAATGTGGGGGAAAAACATTTCTATGTCTGAGAGTACAGATTGGAACCGAAAAAGAAATTTGCAATTTTTAAAATCCAAAGAATACTCTGAAATTGACTGGCATATTATAATGTGAAATTGACTGGGGAAAATTCTTTATTTGCCTATGAAAGTAGTTCACGTTTTTTGAAGCAACTGTCATTTAACAAGTAATTATTGAGTACTTCCTATGCACTGTGCATTGGTGGTTGCTTAGGATATGCCAGTGAACAGAGAGAGCAAAATGAGCTCATAAGGGAAGAGATGACCAACAAGTTACTGTATTAGTGGTAGTAAATGCTGTGGATAAAAAGCCAGGAGAGGTAGCAGGATCAGCACAGACTTCAGGGATTATTGTGGTTTTCAGTAGATTCATCCATATGGACTTTATTCAGGAGGTAACTTATGAGTGTAGAGCTGAGGTTGGTAATGGAACCATGAAGGTGTTCCTTTCATGGGGAAAGCATTCCAAGCAGAGTAACAGCTATTGCAGAGGCCCTGGGCATGCCTGACATGTGCAAGGAACAGTAAGAATGCCATTGGGAGCCAAGTAGAGTGAGTAGAATTTTGTAAGAAGTGGAGTTGGGGAAATAGAGAGAAACCAAATAGGGGTTTCAGGCCTTTGTAACATCTTTGGCTTTTGTGCCATGTGATGTTTTCATAGGGTTTTGAGCAGAAGAGGAACTTGTATGATAAAAATGTTAGTCTAGGGCAAGGGATTTAGCTCAGTGGTTCTGACGCCTGCCTCGCAAGCGCAAGGTCCTGAGTTCGATCCCTGGTACCAAAAAAAAAATGTTACTCTAATGCATTGAATGTGAATGATGGAAGAGAGCGGGTATGAGGCTAGTTGCAGTAATACAGGAGAAAGGTGGTGTCCAGGCCAAAATGACAGGCCTAAAGTTTGTGAGAAGTTAAAGAGAGCACTGTTGGGTTTATTGTGCCATCTTTTGGTTTATGAAATGCAAATGTAATCTAGGATTGATTTGGGAGTGCTCACCAGGATAAAGTGTTTTTAGATAGCATGTTTTAGAAGTTATGTGGGATTGAGCCATTAATCCTTAGAAGAGGGCCAGGGATTTAGCTCGGTGGCACCGTGCCTGCCTCACAAGCACAAGGTCCTGAGTTTGATCCCTGATACCAAAAAAAAAAAAAAATTTCCTTAGAATATCAAGAATTAAAAATTTCAGTCAATTTTTTCTTCAGCTTTCCTGTGCTAGGATCTGAGAATAAAAGAGTGATATAGATATACTAGATTCATCTACTAGTAGAGGAGGGCCAGAGAAAACTTCTTGGGAGAGATGGGTTTTATTTAAACTACTACCTGAAGGAGGAGAGGAAAGCAGAATGTTCTAGATACGACAGTAGGAGAGGCAAGAAGAGACTGTAAGCTTGAAGTGACTGGTCATGTAGGGAAGGAGCACTGGTCACGGCAGGTGAGGTGAGGGTGGGGCATTGTAAGTGGGGCTCATGAGGTAGGAATGAAAGTGAGGGAAAGGATTCACAGTAGGAAGATGAACTGACCCATTTGTTCTAGTGGTATTTCTATGTGGAAGATAGATTTAAAGGCCAGTTGGGAAACATTTCATTAGTAATCTTGGAGTGAAGATGGAAAGAGGCCCTCGGGTTTGAGAAGTGTTTCTGAGGGAGCTCTCCAGGCCTTTGCTAATTGTTGAATATGGTGGAAAGGACAAGAGAGGTGATGGAGGGCTCCCTGGGGGCTTCCTGACCACTTCCCTGTGACTTCCTGATCACTGCCCAAGCTGTTCTTTTGTTCATCTTTCTTCCACTTGACAAAAAGAAGGCTGAAGTTCTCACTCATTCTGCACCTTGCCATGTGGATTGGCAGGTGTATGAGCCCACAGAGTGCCGAATCAAAGGGCAGTTCCTCATAGTGTGGTGTTGACTGATGGAGGGCCAGTGGCTGCAGCTAGTCAGGAGATTCAGGTCTTTGCATCAAGTAACACCAAGCAGGACGCAATCCAGTATCAACTCAGAGATTATTAAAACTAATTTTTGATGGTAAATCTCTTTGATTTTTGCCGTATAATTTGGAAGAAATTCAAATGATTGTAAGAATACTTTCTATTTATGTGAACAAGTTTTTCAGTGTTTATATCTGTTGAAATGAAGAATAGGAATTATGTTCAACTTTGGCTCATTTTGGCAGTAGAATATTTATTCACTGATATGAAGTAATTGGGAAAAGCAGCCTTGCCATGTTAGCCTCGAGATGCACAAAATTTTATCTTTTGTTCATAATTTAAATTTCATTACTTTTTTCAACTATATACTTTTAATAGTATAATGATTTTTCAATCTGGAAGACATTTTTAAATACAGTCCAATGATCAGTTGAAATTCTTAAAACATCTTTTAATAGACATTTGTATTATAAAAATTACTGTGATTAGTAAAATATTTCAACATATAAATTTATTAAGAAAATGTAGGGAAATGAAATAAAGAAATGTGTGTTTACATTTTTGAATGGATGATAGTGGCTGTCTACACTGTGATGGTTGAATTGCAGTGTGTTAATTTAACCATTTTACTTCAAATTCTGATAGACTGGAAATGATATCTAAAATTATTTAACTTTATAGGAAAAATCTGATGCATTCACTTAAAATGTGAGATCATTAGGAGTTTTTGTTCACATATTTCCTAAAGTAAATTTTGAAAATTTGAGCCTTGATGTTCTAAGAGCTTCTTAGAAGAGAAGAGGTCCTAGGGTAGAATCTTAAAAACTTCCTGTCTTAAAGGAGGTCAGAAGAGAAAGCTGCCATAAGGAGCAGGAAAGAATAAGCAAACAGATGTGGGGTCCTGGGTGGGAAATGTGCCAAGGATGCCATGGGGAAGGAGTCCTTTCAGGACAGAGTACTCAGCAGCACAGAGGACTCCTGAGACAGGAGAACTGAAACATGTCCATCTGATTTCAGGACAAGGAGATTTCAGTCTTCCTAAGATTCGTGAGGAGAGGAACAGGCCAAACCTTTAGAATCCTGGTCTCGGCACTGAGATCTATGTTAAATGGTGTTATAATTTTTTTTATAAATTATAACACCATTTATATGGTGTTAACTTTCTTTATATCCTCTGCTTCTTTGTCTTTTGGCAAGGTCAAGTTATATATATACTTAAGATTATGTGCTTCCCAACTCCTACAACAGACATTTTTATTTATGTCATGCTGTATTTTGGATACCACATGACCATATGAATCATATAATATAGGAAAGGATGATATGTTTATTAGGAATTAAGTAGGGCGCTGTCAGATTTGGAGACAAGACTCAGTTCTCAAAACATTCTAGATGAGTCAGTTCCCAGATCATACATCATAACAGATCTTGTGTTTTATGATATAAAACCGTAAACTATGCCTACCAGAGGGAGTTTTAAATAATGATGGAATGCTGAAAGAATTTGGCATGTACTCTCAGTGTTTAATACTACATAGTTTTCTATTTTTAATACGAAAATTCTCCTAAGTAATACTGAGGTTTATACATGCAGCTACAGCTTCAACGGAAGGATCTTTCTAGCATTGACTCTCTTCCTTTGCTTTGTCTTCTCTATTTTATGAAAGATGAGAAATAATCTGACTCATTTATCTACAACCTGTTGATGAAATTTTCAAGTGTAGCTTTGCCTAAATCCAGGGAATTGAGAAACAGAAAAGGACTTCTAAGGAAAAAAAAAAAAAAAATCAATAAATGAATTCTGTTTTATACCTACAGGCTGTTATCTGCTGTTCTAAGGGTTTCAGAAGTTGAATCTCGAGCAATAAGAGCAGATCTTACTCATCTACTAAGCCCGCAAATGGGCAAAGATATTGTTTGGTTTCTAAAACGCTGGGCCAAGACTTATCTCCTTGTGGATGAAAAACTATATGATCAGGTCAGAATGTAAAATTGTTAAACTCTGTTTGGACTTATGAAGTTGGCAATTGTAGAGCTGGGAACATTTTTTCCTATTGATATTTTTCTTCAAAATGGAACTGTCGGGCCAGGGATTTGGCTTAGTGGTGCTGCGCCTGCCTTGCAAGTGCAAGGTCCTGAGTTCTATCCCCAGTACCAAAAAAAAATATCTGTTATATCTGCATTAAAGAAAACTGAAGACTGGAATGCTATTTTATAATTTTTCTTAGAGTACATTGTTAGATTTTCTTTATTTTAACCAGTATTAAGATAGAAATTGCTATTTGGCAATAGAGTAATATATGTCCCTCGTATTTGGTTTAAATATCATGTCAGTGTATTAACAGTATGAGAATAAAGTTGACAGAAAATCAGATGAGAAACCATGAGTGCCTTGAGGATGTTTTGGACATACTGAAATGAGTCATTTTTACAGGTAGCAACTACTTCAGATTTAGATGCCAATGTCACTGTAATTTTTCTGTTGATTATTTTCTCAGCTGATTTTTCTTTCCGATCTTACAAAATTTGTTTTCACTCTTAAGATAAGTCTGCCATTCAGTACAGCATTTGGAGCAGATACAGAAGGTTCTCAGTGGATTATTGGCTACCTCTTACAAAAAGTCATCAGTAACCTCTCAGTCTGGAGTAGTGAGCAGGACCTTGCAAATGATACTGTGCAGCTCCTTGTCACTTTGGTGGAAAGAAGAGAAAGGTAAGTCCATTGTTGGAGAAAGTGTGTGTGTGTGAAAGTTTGCTTTTTAGCGTAGTCTTTTCACCTGGCACATGATTACGTAGTTTAAGTCTAGATTTACTCTACATTCTTGGAGTAGTGTGTTATTAAAACTATAATTTTGAAATAGTGTTAAAATTACTATAAATGCAAATGGGGCTTTCCCATTTTACAAGTAAAGATTACATTGATTGTTCAAGATTTGGCGTTAAAAAACCTTATGAGCAACACATAAATCTTATTTAATAATCTATGGTTATAAAAACACTCATGTAGAATATTCTTATTTGATTTCTTTTTTAGTTATCCTATTAGCATTATCCCCATTTTAAAGATGAGAACAACTGATATTTAAAATTGTTGCAAAGTAAAATTTTTAACACTTTCCACAGCAGATTGTGGAAATGTTTTCATTTTTCTTGCTGTACAGAAATATATCCTTGCTATTGTTATTACTATTCCCATTGGCTACTATTTATTGAATTCTTATAATTTATTGAGCATTTACTAAGCATTTCACAAATAGTACCTCATTTCATCATCATATCTGTCTCAGGCATGAGATTTAGGGCTATTACAACTATTGTTATCTCCTTTTTGCAGATTGGAAAACTGATGATTAAGAGACATTCATTTTACATTGTCCCATGACTAATGAAGTCTGAATGTAAACCTGTATGACTCCAGAGTGTACAGTTTATTGTACTGTGTTTTAAAAGCTAATTAAATCTAGTTAGGTGTGGTGGTAGGTGCCTGTAGTCCCAGCTACCCAGGGGTTGAGTTGGGAGGATCTCTTGCACTCGTGAGTTTTAAGAGACTAGTCTGGGCAGCATAGCAAGACTCTGCTCCTAAAAATAAATAAATAAAAATCAGTTATCTTCAATTTTTGTTTTCTAAGTATATTTACATACAGTGTAAGCCTTACATCTTACGTTTTGTTATTTCTCCCTGTAGGGCAAACTTAGTAATTCAATGTGAAAATTGGTGGAACCTAGCTAAGCAGTTTGCAAGCCGAAGCCCACCTCTTAATTTCCTGTCTAGTCCTGTGCAGAGGACGCTGATGAAGGCTCTGGTCTTAGGAGGCTTTGCACATATGGACACAGAAACCAAACAACAGTATTGGACAGAGGTAATGGTTCCCTCTGCTTTGATGTGTCCTCCTGTATAGCCCTGTAGGTGTTCTGTGTGTTGCTATAAAATAGTCTATGAAGATGTAAGCATTTCATTCATAGTCTTTAATATTTTTTCTGCCTAATGAGTAAGCTGAAGGTTATTACTCAACAAATGCTGTACTGTCTAATGGTACTGTACTTGCCTATGTGACAGCATTGACTATTATCAAGTGTTCTATACTTTAGGCACATTTTCTCTGTTCAAATGAGAGCGTGTAACTAGTGTATTAAATTATTATTAAACATTGGCTGGCCAGAGATGTAGTCAGTGCTATAGCACTGACCATACATGAGGCCCTTAGTTTGATCCCCAGTACAACAATTGCAAATAAAGGGAATTATGACATTAAGAATCAGTGAAACATTCTTGTTTTGAACAAGTAGATGCAAGCCAACTACTATGTTTATTTCTGGGGCTCCCTGGTGGCTTAAGCAATAGACATTTATTGTCTCATGGTTCCAAAGGCAAGCAATGCAGGATAAGGTATAGCAAGATTGTTTCCTTCTAACGAGGAATCTGTAGCTTCTTATGGTTTGCTGGTGACTTTTGGCATTGTTGATTTGTACATGCATCTCCCTGATCTCATTTTCACGTTCACGTGGTATTCTCCTGATATGTGTGTTTGTGTCCATATTTCCCTCTTTTTATAAGAACTCACCCTACTCCAGATAACCTAATCTTAACTGATTACATCTACAATGACTGTTCAAATAAGGTCACATTCTGAGGATTTCCACAGATGAATTTTTGAGAAGACACAATGCAACCCTTAACAATCACTGTGGACATGTTATATATAAGAAGCTTTGAGTCAGAGATCAAGTGTATATGTAGTAGGTTGCCCTCCTGTAGTTCTTGTGCCTAGACTGCTGTTAATGTTTGAGAAGGGCCACAATGATAGAATCAGGCAGTCTTCTGTGATTTCATAACCAATTGAAACCAGGCTATAAATTTCTAGTTTAAATAATTGTGGACAGCTTTAGATAGATAATCATATGGATAGCTTTAGGTAGAATTAAGATACTATGTTCATGAGTAAGAGTACTCACTTTTTTCTTTTTTTTTTTTTGCATTGCTGAGGATCAAAACTAAGGCTTCCTATATGTTAGATAAGCATTCTAATCCCTGAGCCATACCCGTAGCCCAATTACTCACTTTTTACAGGGCAGGATTGACGAATGAAGAAAGTTAAAAACAGACAACAGCTTTGTGTTGAGCTTGACGCTGTAGAGCAGGGTGTGCAAAGTGTAGCCAGTGGACCAAATGTGATCTGTGTCTGTTTTTGTACATTGTTTTATTGAGAAATGGTTGTGCTCAGCTATTTATATCTTGTTCATGGCTCTGTACTACACAAACTATTTACTGTCTTACCTTTTTTAGAAAAAAAAAATTGCTGACCCATACTTGAGGTCTTAAATTTTTTTGTCTTTTAAACATGTTTTTGTTAATCACTTGGAAAGAAATGGATGGAAATGACAGTATTCTATGAATGGGATTGAGAAAGTCGTGTTCCATGACTTGGGTGTCATTTCTACAAGTTAGGATAACCTTCAAAATGGGGAATGTAGTACATGGTACACATACTCTGTGTTTGTCTTACTTCCAGCAATTAGAAATGTTTTGGAAAGTGAATATTGATCTAAGTCAAGGAAAGCATGTTTGGAAAGTTTATGCTGTGTCTTTATAGGTTCTTCAACCACTTCAGCAGCGATTCTTAAGAGTAATAAACCAAGAAAACTTTCAGCAAATGTGTCAGCAAGAGGAGGTCAAGCAGGAGATCACTGCCACACTGGAGGCCCTGTGTGGCATTGCAGAGGCCACCCAGATTGACAATGTGGCCATTCTTTTTAATTTTTTAATGGACTTCCTTACCAATTGCATTGGGTTGATGGAAGTTTACAAAAATACCCCAGAGACTGTCAATCTTATTATAGAAGTTTTTGTTGAAGTTGCACATAAACAGATATGCTATCTTGGAGAGGTAAGCACTTTGTACTTTCATCCCTTCAGGAGGAAATCTTTGGAGGTATAATGAAGGGATAGATACTTCAGATTCAACACATGTTATTTATTTTTATTCCTCCAAAACATTGTTCAGTAAGACTTAATGAAAAAACTAATAATTTACAGAAAGTCATGCTGAATGAATATAAATTCTTGTCCTAAAGTTTTGTTAGAATAGGGCTAATACTTTAAACATAGCTGTATTCTTAATGTATACTTTTTCATTATTGGTAATATTTAATAGCATAACAAGTATTATAGCTACTTTTATAATTCAGAGTAATTTAAACTTCTTTAATATTTGTTTGCCCAATAGATTCTACCAAGTAGCATAACATACACATATTTTCTTACAGTCCAAAGCTATGAACTTATATGAAGCCTGCCTTACTTTGTTGCAAGTATATTCTAAAAATAACTTAGGGCGGCAAAGAATAGATGTTACAGCAGAAGAAGAACAGTACCAAGACCTGCTTCTCATTATGGAACTTCTTACTAACCTTCTCTCAAAAGAATTCATAGATTTCAGTGATACAGGTAAAATGTTTTGTGGTGGCTTTTAAACTTTGTTGTTGTTCTCTTGTATGTGTGTGGGTGGGTGTGTGTGTTTGGTGGTATTGGGAATTGAACCTAGAGGATTTGCACTCAG